AGGCAGAGGTTGCAGTGAGCAGAGATACAGTCACCAAAATAGAAACTGAAGACTCTGCCTAAAAAAAAAAAAAAAAAAACGAGGTCAGGCATCAGTACCGACAGAAAGAAGAGAAACCAAAAAAAAAAAAAAAAGGGGGGGCTAATGCCTCTTTAAGAGATGAAGACACTCATCATTATATCGGCTAAGTTAAAATATGTAAGTATAGAGAAGCAACTAGAAGGAAACACTCTAATATGTTAACACTGATTACTTCTTTCAGTGGGATTATGTGACTTTAAAAAAATTCTGTGTTTCCTAAAATTTATGAAATGAATATTTATTATTCAAATTTAGGAAAAAAATTTTGTTTTAGAAGGGCCCTGGTTAAATTTAGTATGACTCATTGAAAGCTACTCCAAGCCTCAGCAGTCGGCGGTGCCTTTTTCTGCTGCCTGTATTGATACCCTGGCTCTGCCTTTTACCAACCAGGGTGATCAGGGACAAGTTAATTAACTTATTTGTGCCTTTGTTTTGTGTTTTATAAAATTGAGGCTTACAGTGCCTAATTTAGGCTAATTTGGCAATTAAATAAGATACTGCTTATCAAGTACCTGGCACACATAAGTACACAAAAATGTTAGCTACACCGGGTGCAGTGGCTCACACCTGTAATCTCAGCACTTTGGGAGGCCGAGGTGGGTGGGTCATTGGAGGTCAGGAGTTCGGGACCAGACTGGCCGACATGGTGAAACCCTGTCTCTACTAAATATACAAAAAATTAGCCAGGCGTGGTGGTGCATGCCTACAGACTCAGCTACTTGGGAGCCTGAGGCAGTAGAGAGGTGGAGGTTGTGGTGAGCTGAGATCGCACCACTGCCCTCCAGCCTGGGCAAACAGAGTGAGATGCCATTTCAACAACAACAAAAAAAAGTCCAGGCTCGGTGGCTCATGCCTATAATTTCAGCACTCTGGGAGGCCGTGGTGAGCGGATCAGCTGAAGTTGGGAGTTCAAGAACAGCCTGACCAACATGGAGAAAACCAGTCTCTACTAAAAATACAAAAGTTAGCCAGACGTGTTGGCGCATACCTGTAATCCCAGCTACTCGGGAGGCTGAGGCAGGAGAATCGCTTAAACTGGGGAGGTAGAGGTTGCGGAGGACCTAGGCAATGAGCTGAGATTTCGCCATTGCACTCCAGCCTGGGCAACAAGAGGAAAACTCCGTCTCAAAAAAAAAAAAAAAAAAAGAAAGAAAGAAAGCAATGTTAGCTACAATAGTATTGTTTTTGGATGGGAAGGTCTGGAATGTAGTTAGTGTCCAGACCTTCCCCAGCTTTCTCGGAGGAAAAATTCCTCCTCTCTGAGTGGCCTCAGCTATGCCTCCTACTTGATTGCTATCCTGTTATTCACCCAAAGATTGCAGGCAGCTGGGCCTCCTGTGAGGCAACAATCCGAGGCAAGGGTGACACCCTAGGCAGAGGAAGTGTTTGTTTTCCTAACTTGTTGATTGGGTTCCAAAGAGATCAGTTTCTTAGTTGACTCAGCCTCTTTGCAGTAGGAGACCATGACTGGCATGCACAGGGCAAACGATACAGCTCTGTGTCTGAGTTCCCATCCAGTATGGGATTTGTCCTTTCATTCACTCCTTCATTTGGTTGTTAAATTCACACACGTGTATTAGATGCCTGCTATATGTCAGGCACTGCTGTAGACGATGAGAGACAATCAATTAAAATGCAATGAATTAAAAATTAATAAGGGACTTGCACAAATATTTGTACACTTATGCTCAGAGCAACGTTATTCATAATACCTAAAAGGCAGAAGCAGCCCAAATGTCCGTGGACAAATACATTAATAAACAAAATGTGATCTAGACATACAATGATAGGGTTTAGCCCAACGAAGAAAGGAAATTCTAGCCAGGTTCAGTGCCTCATGCCTGTAATCCCAGAACTTTGGGAGGCCGAGGCAGCGAATCGATTGAGGCCGGGAGTTTGAAACCAGCCTGGTCAACATAGCTAGACCCTGGCTCTACAAAAGGAAAAAAAAAAATTAACCAGGCGTGGTAGCCTGCGTCTGTAGTCCCAGCAACTCAGGAGGCTTAAGTGGGAGGATTGCTTGAGCCCAGCATTTCAAGGCTACAGTAAGCCATGATTGCACTCAGGCCTGGGTGACAGAGCAAGACTGTCTCAAAAGTAAATAAATAAATAAAGCAGATAACAATAGATTAAAAGGAGAGGAAATTCTAACACGTGCTACTTAGAACACGGATGAACCTTAAGGACATTATGTTGGGTGAAGTCAGCCAGTCACAAAAAGACAAATAACGGTGAAATTCCACTTATAGGAAGTGCCTAGAGGAGTCAAACTTGTAAAGACAGAAAGTATAAAAGGTGGTCAGCAGTAGCAGCGGGGAAGGAGTGAATTATTGCTTAATGTTTGCAGAGCTTCAGTTTGGGAAGATGCTAAAGGTTCTGACGATGGATGGGAGTGAGAATTGCATGATGGGATGTATGAGAGACCAGAATATGCTATCCCAAAATATGCCTCTTTGACATAAGGATTATTTTGAGCTGATTATTTTGAGAAACTGCAGACACAGGAGAAATTCTGAAGACGGAGTAGAAGTTACTCTTTGTAAGGGGCATATACATCTATAAAGGAAATCTTTATTGTAAGGGTGTCCCAGAGACAGGTGATTTTAAATCACTAGACTCCCTTCATTGGACAAGGCATGAATTTAAACCTGCATCACAAATGTTACCCTTGTTTACTGTACTTTTCCTGGGCCTCTTCTTTCTTTTTTTTTCCTTTTTGAGATGGAGCCTTGCTCTGTTGTGCAGGCTGGAGTGCAGTGGCACGACGATCTAGGCTCACTGCAACCCCTGCCTCCTGAGATCAAGGGATTCTTTTGCCTCAACCTCCAGGTAGCTGGGACTATAGGTGCTTGCCACCATAGCTGGCTCATTTTTTTTTTTTTTTCAGTAGAGACAGAGTTTCATCATGTTGACCAGGATGGTCTCGAACTCCTGAGCTCAAGTGATTTGCCTGCTTCAGCCTTCCAACGTGCTGGGATTACAGGCATGAGCCATGGCGCCTGGCCAACATCGTCTTATAATGGGCCTTCCCCATATCCTTCTTTCTTTGTTTCAGTTGAAGATGGTATCTCAGCCTGATTTTTAGGCCATCTCTTTGATATTCATGTTATTAAACTTTTGTTTGCTTTTCTCTTAATAATCTGTCTTTTTTCTCAGGAGTCAGCCTCAACTAAGAAATATTTCTCACCCCTCCTACAGTTCTTAATGGCACTGAACTGTATACTTAGCCAAGGTTAAAATGATAAAGTTTACGTTATGTATATATTTCTCATCATAATTTTTTAATATGAAAAAAATCATAATAGCTTTAGATAATGGAATCAAGCATAGAAATTGTAGAAATTAAGCTCATGGAAAAATTTACAGAACAAGTTTAGCTTTTGCAATTTTTTTTTTAAAACTTCCTTTGAACAGACAATTTACCAAACAAGATACACAGGTAACAAACGAGCACATGAAAAGCTGCTCAGCATCCTTAGTCATGAAACTCTCAGAAGGCGCCAGGACACGCCTCTCATGATGGCTAAAATGAAAAAAGATTGACCTTACCAGCTGAGTACAAGGATGCAGAGCAAATGGGACTCTCATGCATGACTGCTGAGAATGTAAAATGATACAACCACTTTGGAAACTAGTTTGGCACTTTGTTGAAAAGTTAAGCAATACTACCCTATGATCTAGCCATTGCATTCCTGGATATTTACCCAGGAGAAACGGAAGCATGTGTTCCTACTGAGACAAACACCATGTCCATCAACAGGTAAGTGGAAAAAACAAACTGTGCTATATGTATACAGCACCATGTCACTCAAAAACAAAACAAAACAAAACAAAACTGGCCAGGTGCAGTGGCTCACACCTGTAATCCCAGCACTTTGGGAGGCCAAGGCGGGCAAATCACTTGAGGTCAGGATGTGAGACCAGCCTGGCCAACATGGAGAAACCCCATCTCTACTAAAAATACAAAAATTAGCTGGGTGTGGTGGCAGGCACCTGTAATCCCAGCGACTTGGGAGGCTGAGGCGTGAGAAGTGCTTGAACCCAGGAGGCAGAGGCTGCAGTGAGCTGAGATCACACCACTGCATTTCGGCCTGGGTGACAGAGTGAAACTCTGTCTTTAAAACAAAACAAAAACAAAGAAAACTCCAACAAAAACCAGGTAAGCTGTGGTATATGCATACAGCACCATGCCGCTTTCAACGATTAAAAAAATGAACTGTTGCTTCTCTATGGATGAATCTCAAAATAATTATGCTGAATGAAAAAAGACAGGCAAAAAAGAGATATGCTCTATGATTGCATTCAGTGCAGACCAGTATATGGTGACAGAGGGCCAATCAATGGTTGCCTGTGAAGGAGGGAGGGGAATGAAGGAGGAAGAGATTACCAAAGGACACAAGGACATTTTGTGGGGGTGACAGATAAATTCATTATCTTGATTTTTTTTCATGGGTGTGTGCCTGTGTCACAGTGTGTAAAACTGTACACTTATGTGCAATTTACTGTATGTCAATTATGCATTAATAAATGTGCTAAAACCAAAATGAAAAAAATGTAAATGCACACACAGAAAGTGCAGTTGGGCTGGGCATGGTAGCTCATGCCGATAATCTCAGCACTCTGGGAGGCTGAGGCGGGAGGATCTCTTGAGTCCAGGAGTTCAGTACCAGACCCATAAGATAGTGAGACATCGTCTCTACTAAAAATTTAAAAAAATTACCCAGGTGTGGTGGTGTGTGGCTGTTGTCCCAGCTATTTGGGAGGCTGAGGAAGGAGGATTGCTTGAGCTCGGGAGGTCAAGGCTTCGGTGAACCATGAGTGTGCCATTGCACTCCAGCCTGGGTGACAGAGCATCACTCTGTCCCCCAAAAAACTTTAGAAAGCTTTAAAAAAAAAGCTTTAGAAAGCCAATCTGGCTGTGAGGAAGTGAGCTGGAGGAAAAGTAGGACACAGGTAAGGAACCGGAGGGTCTGGGTTAGGAGAAGTGAGGACGTCACTGGTTGGGGAGTGGCTGGAGTCCACAGCTGCACGGATGTGGTCTGTTCCTGTGCCAGCCACTCCCTCCATCTTTTCAAGATCCCGGAGTGTAGGAAATTTGACCCCAGCTTTACAGAGAGGACAGTGACTGGGAGCAGTGAAGTCACTTGCTCAAGGGCACACAGCTGCTGGAGAGCTGGGGCTTCCAGTCCTGTGGGTTCAGAGTCCAAAGCCCATGCTTGTGGGGTCCAGCTCTGCAGGGTCCCGTCAGTCCCTCTCTGCTGGTGTGGAGACGAGGAACTGAGGAAATAAAATACACAAGACACAAAGAAAGAGAAAGCAGAGTTTGGGCCCAGGGGTCCACTGCCAACCAAAGCTCCGAGTCCAGCAGTGGCCCCGAGTGCCTGACATTTACTGAGTACAAAGCAGGGAAGGGCAGGTAGGATGAGGTCATGGTGGTCAGTGACAGGGTCAGGTAAATCACATGTCTTGGAGGTAGGGGGCCCAAGACTTTGAAGAAGCCCAGGGGAGGAGAAAACCTAAGGAGTCAGCACTTTTTCCATACTTGTCAAGAAATAGCAAGGTCACTATGATTTATGTTACTATTACTAATGCTTATCTTCCAAGGAAAAGAGGAACCAGGTGCAGAAGCAGAACTTGAAAGTAGCCACAGAACGTGACCGCTGAAGCGCAGCACCACATGGAGACAATTAAGTCCCCGGATGTCTGTGGGCCTCCCTGACAGCCCTCAGGCCTCCCACAAGAGCTTGGAGAACTGGAGTTTTCTCTTGGCCATCTTGGATGTCTCCTCTCCTGGCTGGCTAAACAGCGGGTGCTTTCTCAGTGCTGACACTGTCGCACAGCCGAGGCGTCCTCCAGCAGCCCTTTTGCAGGCGTCACAGAGGACTCAGAGCATCTTGTCTTAAGGTCACCGCCTTTCCATTGCCACTTCAGTCCCATACTTCTTGACCTGAGACTTACTAGTAAGATTAAAGATTAGATGATTAAATAGATATATTTATGGTTACATATGAATAGCTATGTGATTATTTATGATTTTATATATAGGAATAACTATATAACTGTATCTCTAATTCTTTTCTAATTCTATGTTTATCTGAGAACATGCTGAGGCTTCGAACCCTTGCCTCGGCTCTTACGGGGTTTCCCCCCCACCACATGCTCACAAGGACCTCTCTAATGTAGATAAAAGCCATCGAGGAAGACTCTCCCTTGTCTTGCTATCTGAAATTGCTCACCCTCATGGCGGCTTGTTGCATGACCGTGTTTCCCTGGGAGGAGGCAGGGTGCCATGGGAATATTAACGTCATCTAGGCAGTCAGGAAGGGAAGGCTTCCTGGAGGAAGGGACATTCCAGCTGAGCTGCAAAGAATGTGCAGGAAGGGGAGGAGCTCGGAAATGAGCAAGTTTAAGGGTGGTTATGAGAAAAGGGAGAATGTGTTCTATGGGGTGGGATGTGACTGCCTGGAAATAAACCAGGGCAGGGCCTGCTTGAAAATCTGAGCTTCGGCATTGCTGGGTGGTGGCGTGAGACGCAGAGAGAGGCATCAGAGGCTGATGTTTGTTCTCTGTGTGGCAGCTTAGAGAACGGAGTGGATGGGAGGGAGGCCAGGTGAGATCCTGCCTGCCAGGCAGCTGCCTATTGTGGTTGCCATGGAAACGTTAGACTGCAGACCCAGCAGCCTCTAGTCCAGCCCCTCTTATTAAGGATGACAAGACTAAGAACCAGACAGAGGAAGAGATTTGCTCTTTCTTGCTGGCGGCCTGGAAACCTCCGTCAGAAAATATTGCAGTAAAACACACATGAGATAAAAATCACTATTTACTTTGCAATCATTTTTATTTCATAGTATTATTATTTTAGACACAGTCTCTGTCTGTTGCCCAGGCTCAATGTGATCTTGGCTCACTGCAATCTCCGCCTCCCAGGCTCAAGCGATCCTCCATCCTCAGAATCCCGAGTAGCTGGGACCACAGGCACACACCACCTTGCCTGGCTAATTTTTGTATTTTTTGTAGAGACAGAGTATCACCATGTTGCCCAGGTAGGTCTCGAACTCCTGGGCTCAAGTGATCCTCCCACCTCAGTCTTCCAAAGTGCTATAATTACAGGTATGAGCCACTATGCCTGGCTAACCATTTTTAACTGTCTTTGGAAACTCCTCTCATCATTCTAAACTGAAACTCTGTCCCTATTAAATAATTCCCACCTCCCCTCCCCCCAGCTCTGGCAATCATCAACCATCATTTTTACCTTCTTCTTCCTCCTCCTCTTTTTCTTCTTTTTTCCTCTTCCTCCTCCCCCTCCTTCTCCTCCTTCTCCTCTTCTTCCTCTTTGAGAGAGAGAGGAGAATTTGCTGTGTCGCCCAACCTGGAGTGTAGTGGTGTAATTACAGCTCCCTGCAACCTTGAATACCTCTGGGCTCAAGCAATCCTCCCACCTCGGCCGACCGAGTAGCTAAGACTACAGGTGTGTGTCACCACACATGGCTAATTTTTAAATTTCTGTGTGGAGACAAGGTCTTACTGTGTTGCCCAGGCTGGTCTCAAACTTCTGGCATCAGGTGATCCTCCCACTTTGGTCTCCAAAGTTCTGGGATTACAGATGTGAGCCACCACGGCTGGCGTCTACTTTCTGCCTCTGTGAATTTGACTCCTCTAGGGACCTCATGTAAGTACAATCACATGATATTCTTCCTCTTATGTCTGGCTGACTTCACTTAGCATAATATGCTCAAAGTTCACCCATGTTGTGTCATGGGTCAGAATTTCCTCCCTTTTTAAAGGCCAAATATACCATTGGGTGGGTAGACGGTATTCGGTTTATCCATTCGTCTGTTGATGGACCTAGGCTTGCTTTTGCCTTTTGGCTGTTGTGAACAAGGCTTCTAAAAACACGGGTGTATTAGAAACCTTCTTCATAAACATCAATTATTGGTACTTAGTGAAGAACAAAGGCTTTTGTTAAGTTTTAAATACAAGGAAAAGAGAGAAGAACGATACATTTCTCCCTGAAAGTCGACCAGAAGCAGCCTTTTTGCCTAAATGCTTTCAGGACTCATCTGAGGCCAGGCTTTCCCTGGGTCTTGCTCTGGATACTGTATGTTTAGACTACACATGCGTCCAGCTCTGGCTCCTGTGGCACATGTTAGGAGAGCAGCTTTTGTCGATGAGGCAGATTTGCCTTGGGATTTGCTTCTCCTGGGGGACTCTCTGGGCTTCTAGGAAAACTGACAAAAGGCCAGCTGGTCTGTTCTACCATTTACAGGAATGTAGGCTCCAGATGTACCTGTCTCTTTTCTTAACCAGTGAGTCGCCAGCACCTAGAACACTGGCTGGTACTCGAAGAAGAATTTGTCAGGCAGGGTGCAGTGGCTCATGCCTGTAATCCCAGCACTTTGGAAGACCTAGGTGGGAGGATCACTTGAGCCCAGGAGTTCAAGATCAGCCTGGTGACATAGTGAGACCCCACCTCTACACAAAAAATTAGCCAGTGATAGTGGCATGGGCCTGCAGTTCCAGCTACTTGGAAGGCAGAGGTGGAAGGATCGCTTGAGCCCAGGAGCTGGCTGAGATTACAGTGGGTCATGCCACTGCACTCCAGCCTGGGTGACAGAGCAAGACTTTGTTTAAAAAAAAAAAAAGAAGAAGAATTTGTCAAATGAATGAATGACTAACTGGACCCTCCATGGGGTCCAAGACAAATCTCCACGCCCAGGAAAGGAAGGACTCCATGGAGGGTCCAGTTAGTCATTCATTCATTTGACAAATTCTTTTTATTTATTTATTTTTTTGAGACCAAGTTTTGCTCTGTCGCCCGGGCTGGAGTGCAGTGGCGTGATGACAGCTCACTGAGTTAAGTGACCCCGCACTTACCCATGCTCTAATTCTAGCATGACTCTCTGTGTTCTCATCACTCAGCTGGTAGAAATGACACCTGCTTGAGCCAACCTCACCTGTCATGAACAGGAGCATCCAGGAGACCGTGGAAATAAAAGTGCTGTCCCAATGGATGTCATGATTGTCCCCTGCTGTGACCTCTCCTCCCAGCACCAGGCTTGCGTCTACCAGTAACCTCCCACCTTTGAGCACCTCTCAAAACTCAGAACTTCTCTGTCTTCTCTCTCCGTGGCCTCCCCTTTCCTGCCCCAAGTCTGGCTGCTTCTTTCCTTTTATGGCCCTCATTTCCTCGGCCATCACCTCTGGTCAGGAATCCCTCCCCACTGTGTGACCATTGTCAAAACCTTGACCGTCTTCTGCCTCTGGACTTTTCTGCCCCATCTCACCAATGCTGCAAGAGACATCCCCCAAAGTGCAGCTCTGACCTCATGACCCTAATTTAAACTTAACTGAGGGGTTGGGCGCAGTGGTTCACAGCTGTAATCCCACACTTTGCGAGGCCAAAACAGGCAGATCACCAGAGGTCAAGTGTTCGAGATCAGCCTGGCCAACATAGTGAACCCTTGACTGTACTAAAAATACAGTAATACAAGCTGAGCATGGTGGCGCATGCCTGTAATCCCTACTTGGGAGGCTGAGGCAGGAGAATCACTTGAACACTGGAGGTGGAGGCTGCAGTGAGTCAAGATCGTGCCACTGCACTCTAACCTGGGTGACAGAACAAGACTTAGTCTTTAAAAAAAAATGACTGACGGTGGACCGACTGCACGTAACCTCCTCCCTGGCTTTCCAGGACCTCCCAGCCATGGTCTCTCTGACTGGATTCTGCCCATTGGCCTCTGCGTCTCCTCCTGCCAGCTGCGGCACGGCACCTGCCTCTCCTGAGCATGTGCTGAGCATCTGCCTCCCTGCCTGTGCACACTGTCCTCCTCTGGCTGCAACATCAATTCTCTCTCCTCCCTGCTCTGCTGAGATCCTTCCTATGCTTTAAAACGCAGCTCAAGGGCCGGGCGCAGTGGCTCACACCTATAATCCCAGCACTTTGAGAGGCCGAGGTAGGCGGATCACAAGGTCAACAGATCGAGACCATCCTGGCCAACGTGGTGAAACCCCGTCTCTACTAAAATACAAAAAATTGGCCGGGCGTGGTAGTGGGTGCCTGTAGTTCAGCTACTTGGAAGGCTGAGGCAGGAGAATCACTTGAACCTGGGAGGCAGAGGTTACAGTGAGCAGAGATCACACCACTGTAGTCCAGCCTGGGTGAGAGAGACAGGCTTCGTCTCAAACAAATAAACAATGCAGCTCAAATGCCCCACTGTGCTTTTTCTATGCTTAATCCACACTCCTCTCACCATACGCACCACATCGACTCAGAGTGTTTGCTTGCATTCCTTCCTTGGCTTCCCCACTAGACTGAATTCCTGAGGGTGGAGAGGATGTGTCTTGTTTCCACTGCCAGCACCGTCTGGTCCAACCGGCAAGAAGTGGTTGCTGATTTTGGCAGACTCCTTGCTCTCCTTCCTTCTTTGCCCAGGTCTTGGGTGCTGACCTTATCAAAGGGCAGCCTGGGGTTATTCTTGGCATAACCAGCACATAGCTGGTTATGCACACAGCACATCGCCCAGTTCCTGGCTTGGAGGGAGAGCGCTCACGTTTGATGGTTACAACAATGGATGGGAACCCATAGCCAGTGGCTTTGATGCCTCTGTGCCTGATGGGAAGCTGAGAAGGAATTGACAGAGCTCTTCTTTCTTTGGGTCACTAGCGTCCCGCGGCTTCAGCGTTTCTTTGTGCTCAAGCAAGCGCAGTTGCCAGGACCACAGAGGAAGGGGATGGAGGAATGGCCTCAGCCATCTCGGAGGATGGCACTTGTTGCCCCCAGTGCCATCTGCCAAAGACCTTTTCAATTACACCAGACGCATTGGCTCTAGGCAGCCTCAGCTTCCTGTCACCACGGACTCTGTTTAAGATCTCAGCTGGACTTGGCTGCGTTGGAGATTGCAGGGAATATGGCTGGTCCACTTGGGTGGCTTTGCACGTGGCCATCCTGTGTGTATGCCCTTCTGCCAGCCTGGCGGCCTCTCCCTTCGTCTGCCTTGTCCTTGAAATGCATCAGCAGGGGGAGCTGGATCTGTCCTAAACCTGACGGAAAACAGACGTCCCCGCACGCAGAGGAGCAAGCTGCCTCGCTGGGTTTTTCTGGAATAGCTCAGATGGCTGTTATTTTATTCATTGGAATGGAGATGAATTGCTAAATGTACCAGTTAAATGTGATTTAAATTGTATATCGTTGTCAAGTTTTTCACATAAATTCACTAATTAAAAAAAAAATTCTTTGCACAGACATTTGCCTTGATTTTTGTGTTTCATGAGCTGGGGAGACAAATCTTCTAGCTGGGAAGACCATTTTGTGTTTCTAAACTACATGAGGAATTGCCTTTAAGACATTAGACATAAGACACTAGAAGGCTAAAGTCAGCGTGTTTGAGGGCAGCCTTAAGGCATCCTCAAGGTCCTTGTTGAAGAACTGGTAGATCCACATATAACCATTTATTTTATTTTATTTTTATGATTTATTTTTTAAAGGCAGGGTCTTGCTCTGTTGCCCAGGCTGGAGTACAGTGGTGTGATCATAGTTGACTGCAGCCTTGAGGTCCTGCGCCCAAGGTGTCCTCCTGCCTTAGCCTCTGTAGTGCCTGGGACCACAGGTGTGTGCCACCATGTCTGGCTAACTGCCATATAACCACTTCTTACCTTCCAACTTGCCAGCACACCAGCTGTCCCCGTTTCCCATCCTCGGTTCCCACGTTGAACTGAGACTTTTGTATTTCTCATGTTGTTTTATTTTCTGCATTTCCTGATGATTTGGGGTCTGGGACCTTGCTGATCTTGAAGAGACCACCCCTCGCAGGGCCCGCTAATTCCTAGAGATGGTAACCGCTTGTCTGCAAGTGTGCCTTCCACAGGGAAACCAGCCAGTCCAAGGTCCACACCCCCACCTGCCTCTATGACAGAGGATGACACTGCAGGCCTCCGCCCTAACCACCCTTGGGCCGGGTACCAGGAAAACTAGGGGCAGCTCCTATGCTGCCTAGCCCACGGCCAGTCCTCAGCCTGCGCATCCTGCCTGGCCTGGCCAGTCCGCGAAACCACGATAAAGGCTCTTGTGCAAGTTTCCAGCCTCGCTCCCTCGGCCTCCTGTCCTGCCCCAGTGCCTCCCCAGGTGGCCATGCATGGTGTGCCACACTTCCTGTTTCCAGGGGTCTGTGAGTATAACAACCAACCTCCTTCCTGACAGATTTTCATGTTTGCTTGTTTCCTTATACCTGGTTAAAACAAATCCTGGGTATAATTTACAACACCTTTTGGCCTCTGTTCAGCTCAGATCTTGGTAACGCCCAGTCAAACGCGTAATGGGGCTTGGCTTCTTGTCCCATTATGGCTTCCTGGCCCTGACTCTTTAGCCAGAAAGTGAAGCTATCATCTAGTTAATGAAAAAAGAGGTCCCGATACAGACCCCAGGGGAGGGTTTTCAGATCGTACATAGGGAGGAATTCAAGGCAAGTCGCAGAATGCAGTGAAAGAAGCATGTTTATTAGAAATCCTCCACTGCCGAGCAGGGTGTCCTCAGAGAGCAAGTGGAGGGATGCAGCATCTTTAAGTTTTTCTCCTGGAGGGGACTTGTCTAAGTAAAGACAAACTAAGCTGTGTTTAGGTGCAGATGGGCAGACAGTATGACAATCATTCTATTGATTTACAGAAAACTACCCTTGACATTTTAGAGTGTAAGTACACCAAAGCATAACTGTAATTATCTTAAAAGCACATATTGGGGCCAGGCATAGTGGCTCACGCCTGTAATCCCAACACTTTGGGAGGCCTAGGTGGGTGGATCATGAGGTTAGGAGATCGAGACCATCCCGGCTAACATCATGAAACCCCATCTCTCTAAAAGCACAAAAAAATTAGCTGGGCGTAGTGGTACATGCCTGTAGTCTCAGCTACTTGGGAGGCTGAGGCAGGAGAATTGCTTGAACCCAGGAGGCAGAGGTTACAGTGAGCTGAGATCATGCCACTGCATTCCAGCCTGGGTGACAGAGTGAGATTCCATCTCAGAAAAAACAAACAAAACAAACAAAAACCACATGTTGCTATGGGTACTGGGCCACCTGGACTTTGTGTCATTGTAGGGCTGTGTCCTCACAGGTGTCTTTAAGTTGTTTTGCTCACCTGTAAACATGACCATGTGACTGGCAAGGATGTGCCTGGCTAGTTTTAAGATGAGTTGATTGTAGAATGTATCCCTCTGACTCTCCTCGGCTCCTGCTTTGCTCACATCCTGAGTGTGCAGACTCTCTTTGTTCATTCCTCTCTGTCCAACTGTCAAACCAGACACAACAAGCAGAGAGGAATGCATGCTTGAAAGATTCACCTTTATTGTATAATTTGAGTTGGCCTAGGGATTCTCTAAGGCCCCAGATAAACTGCACTCAGATGCCTGAAAACTTCCCACAACCCAATCCCTTTTCCTTGAGTATGACCCTCTTCTTCTTCTTCTTCTTTTTTTTTTTTTGAGACAGGGTTTCACTCTATTGCCCAGGCTGGAGTGCAGTGGTGCAATCTCGGCTCACTGCAACCTCCACCTCTCGGACTCAAGCGATTCTCCTGCCTCAGCCTCCTCAGTAGCTAGGATTACAGGTGCACACCACCACGCCCAGCTAATTTTTGTATTTTTAGTAGAGATGGGGTTTCACCATGTTGGCCAGGCCCATCTTGAACTCCTGGCCTCAAGTGATATGCCTGCCTCAGTTTCCCAAAATGAACCTCTTCTTTTCCTCTTATAATAACAGAATAGAAATTGGATCAAAATGGCAAGCAGGACATGTACCTGTTTCTCCTCCCACCCCAAATTTTATAAAATGAAAGAAAATATATCTTTAATAAGGAAGCCCTGCAAGTTCAAAGTCGTTAGTTCCCCACCACCCAGACTAAGCATATTCAGTGGAATAATGTATATTCTGATAAGCACTAGATTTTGACAGATAAAAATGAATTTAAAGGATATCAGCAAGAAAAAAAATAGAATCATAATGTAGAATTTCCAAATCATTAGAAAAAATACTGCAGTCCAACAGTTGGAAAGAAATAACGAATAAGAAAACATGGTAAAAATAAATTAGAAATAAAAGATAATTAGAAATAAATCTAAGTACACCACTACTAACAATAAATAAAATAAAATGGGTTTAAATGTTCTATTAAATGTCCCTCAGGTTGGGCTAAGGAAAAAAAAAAACCCTCAAATCCAAGAATACACAGTATATAGGAGATCTTCCTAAACTAAAACGTTATAGGAGAGTTGAGTGTCAACTCAACTTCCAGCCAAAAATGGGACACCCCTTCTTTACTAAATACATGTATTGAAACATCACATTTTATCTCATAAACATACACAATTGCTATTTATCAATTGAACATAAAAAAACTAAAAAATTTGACAAAAGATATTTTAAACAAGAATAAAATGAATGTAGAGCATTATTTATATCAGAAAAAAATAAAATTCAAAGTGAAAATTATCATAAGAATGCTGATTCTTAGTTATAAAAGTGACAGTTCACCAAGGAGTTATAATACAGTCATGCATTGCTTAAGGAAGGGGGTTCATTCTGAGAAATGAGTTGTTAGGCGATTTTGTTATGCAAACATCATGGCACGTACTTACAAAAATCTACGCGGTATAGCCTACTTCACATCTAGGTCACATGGTATGGCTTACTGCTCCTAGGCTACAAACCTGTACAGCACGTTACTGTACTGAATACTTCAGGCAATCGTAACACAATGGTATTTTTGTATTTGAACCTGTCTAAACACAAAAGCATTGTGCTGCAACATTATGATGGCTATGTCACTCAGCTGGAGAAATTTTTCTCTTCATTGTATTATCCATTATAATCTCATGAGACCTGCTCTGTGGATGCAGTCTGTTATTGACCAGAATGTCTATATGGGGTGCATGACTATAGTTACAAATCTCTGTGTACCTAATAACAGCTTCAAAACAATAAGGCATAAACAATAAATAATACAAGTTCAAAGAGAAATGTACAAATCCACAATCATGGTGGGAGAGTTTAAAAATTCCCCTCTCTCAGATATTGACAAATAAACAAAATTTAAGTGATAATATGTAGCATTCAAATGAATGAACACATTTTACAAATAACTCTATGTAGAATTTTGTAGCCCCCAAAATAGACTGCATTATTATTGAAACACTTAAGCTATAAGAATAAAAACTAGAGACCAGGCCATAAAGAAATGCCACATTCCAAAAGTGCAGGATGTCCGCAACAACAAAAATGACTACGAAAAAGGAAATAAAAAATGAAATCATGCGTATAGTAACTTAAGAAAGATAATCCAAAACTATTAGTAGTGATTACTTCTGGGGAAGAGAGTTGGAGGTGGATATGGAATTTTTACATTTAGCCACATGTATGAAGTATTTGCTTGAAGTTTTTATGGTATTTATTTATTTATTTATTTATTCATGAGACAGGGTCTCACTCTGCTGCCCAGGTTGGAGTGCAGTGGTGCAATCCCAGTTCACTGCAGCCTTGATTCTCCAGAGTCAGATGATCCTCCCACCTCAGCCTGCCAAGTAGCCGAGACTACAGGCATGTGCCACCACGCGTGGCTAATTTTTGTATTTTTTGGAGAGACAGGGTTTTGCCATGTTGCCCAGGCTGGTTTTGAACTCCTAGGCTCAAGCAATCTGCCTGCATTGGCCTCCCAATGTGGTGGGATTACAGCCATGAGCCATGGTGCCCAACCTGCTTCAAGTTTGTATTACTGAGTGTGTAATTTTGAATTGTTTAAGGTAACAGGTATATAAAGTAACAAATGAGTATATAATAAGCTCCCTTTTCCAATTTATGGAAAAAAAAAACCTGAAAAACTAAGTAGGTTAGAAATAAAGTCATAAAAACCCTCATATAGAAAAACCTGTAAGCAGACTGGTACAGCCTCAAAGGCACCAATTAGACAATAATAAGCACAACTGAACTAAGTATTCAACTGGAGACAGCTTTTTAAAATCCCCCCAAATTAAAGAACAGCCAATCCAAACAAAAAGTACAAACATCAAAAGGAGATAAGACTGTTACTGGCAGTTACTATAGTTATCTACTATAAACAACCTAGGGAATCAACAGAAATACCCAGTAACCCAGTCAATAAGAATAAAACAATGTGATACGTTTGCTCCTTATTTAGACAAAATTTAGATTTTCCACTCTTGCTAGGGATGTGGGAAACAGGCACGTGAATATAATGTTGGTAGGGATATAAACTGATCAATTTTTTAAAAGTTTTTTTTCCAGCACTTTGGGAGGCTGAGGTGGGTGGATCACAAGGTCAAGAGATCGAGACCATCCTGGTCAACATGGTGAAACCCCGTCTTTACTAAAAATACAAAAAATCGGCTGGGCATGGTGGCGCGTGCCTGTAATCCCAGCTACTCAGGAGGCTGAGGCAGGAGAATTTCCTGAACCCAGGCGGCGGAGGTTGCGGTGAGCCGAGATTGCGCCATTGCACTCCAGCCTGGGTAACAAGAGTGAAACTCCGTCAAAAAAAAAAAAAAAAAGCTTTTTTAAGCTATATATATAAAATATATATGTAATCATTTATATTATATGTATATAATTAATCCACCTTTAAGGTGGATGATGTACTCAGTTGAAGGTCTTAAGACTGAGGACCAGAGAAAGAAGGAATTCTGCCTCCAGATTCCCTTTGGACTTGGGCTGCCATATATATAAATAAAATAGAGATGGGGTCTCACTATGTTTCCCAGGCTGGTCTCAAACTCTAAGGCTCAAGTGATCTTCCCACCTCAGCCTCCCAGGCGTATTCCACCACGCCCAGCTAAATTGGTCTATTTTTGAGAGCAATTCAGGAGAATCTATCAAAGTTTCAAACACACTTATCCTTGGACAAATAACTGCACCCATCGTCGTTCTGTTATTCTAGAGCAACACTTCCACATCTGCTTGAAGAAGCTTGTGCAAGGAACTGGCTGCAGCATTGTTTGAAATTATAGGGAATTAGGAGCAATCTAAATGTTTATGAACTTGTAACATATATTTGCATCTGTTTATGCTATGGAATACCACATGGAAGGAAAAAGAATGATGTGAATGTACTGACAGAGACTCTCTAAGACATATTGTCAATTGAAAACATATACAAATGAAAAAAACAGCTGTTCTGTCTGCTACAGCTGTTGGCTGTCCGAAAAGCAATTGTCAACTGCCTTCTGTGATGTTGTTCCCCCTGGTGGTTGAAAGAGTTCAACACTGACCGGGCGTTTCTAGCTTCCACTGCATCTAGAAGTGGGCATGGGACACACGTGGCAAATGAAACGTACGGAAGCCTGTCAGTGGGTTTCTGCGAAATATTTTTCTGATGAAGGGCTGGGTACAGCAGCCCGTTCCTCTTTTTCCTACATTGGACACACAGGGATGTAACAAGTGGACTGTGGGAGGAGACATCTTGCAGCTGCAAGGTCAAGAACACGAAGGAAAGCCCCTTAGAATTGTTAAAACAGGCTGGTCATGGTGGCTCATACCTGTAATCCCAGCCCTTTGGGAGGCCGAGGCGGGTGAATGGTTTGAGGCCAGGAGTTTGAAACCAGCCTGAGCAACATGGCGAAACCCCATCTTTACAAAAAATACAAAAATTAGCCAGGAATGGTGGTGCGTGCCTGTAGTCCCAGCTACTTGGGGGAAAGAGGCAGGAGGATCACTTGAGCTCAGGAGCTCAGGAGCTCTGCAGTGAACTGAGATCGCACTGCTCCTCTCCAGCCTGAGTGACAAAGTGAGATCCTAGCTTAAAAAAAAAAAAAAGAATCACTAGAACAGTGGCGTCACCAAATGTCACTGAGCCACTGAGCTAACTCTCAGACCTACTTATGTACAGAATTCTTGGATTGTGAGTCAAATAAAAACACTATATATTTAAGTCACTTTTCGTAAAAGATTCTAGATGAATGCATTTCTAACAGATATGACCCTGTATTGGTATAGGTACACCCATGTAAATGCATAGAGAAGATTTGTAACAATTCACACCAAATTGTGTATGACTACAACGCAGGAATGAAATGGGATTGCCTTTTTACTCTAAAAACTTTTGTAGTATTCTGATCTTTTCTTTTTTTGAGATGGGCTTGCTCTGTCACCCAGGCTGAAGTGCAGTGGTGCAATCAGCTCACTGCAGCCTCGAACCCCTGGGCTTAAGTGATCCTCCCACCTCAGCCTCCCCACCAGGCGGAACCACAGACACATGCCACCATGCCTAGATAATTTTTTTTTTTTTTTTAGAGATGGGGCCTTGTTATGTTGCCTAGGTTGGTCTTGAACTCCAGGGATCAAGTGATCCTCTTGCCTCAGCTTCTCAAAGTGCTTGGATTACAGGCTTGAGCCACTGGACAGAGCCTCTGAATTTTTTCAATAAGGTAGTTTTTATGTATCAATCATGTAATTTAAAGAAAGTTAGAAAACACAAAAATAAAACCTCGCTGTTGGGATTTTGGGATTATAGCCAAATAGAAACAAAGAGTGTCACTCATAGTTCCATCACAAAGAAAAAAAAATTTGTCAATTT